TTTTACCAGCCCTTGAGGCTTCCAGCAGTGAAGAGCTCGACGAAAGTTTGATGCAGTCAACGTGCCTGTTCTTTCAGCTCGCCATGTGGGATTCTGGCTTTCTCCAAGTGTCTTCAGGCACACTTCCTCCCTCTCAGCGGCTGTTAAGGGCACCAGCTTCCTGAAATACTCCTCAATAAACTGGAGGGATTTCAGCGAGTGCAGGCCTTATGTGTCGCTTATGGGGCTCGTGTTTCTCAGTGGTGCTGGTTTTTCAGTCCTGTAACGGTTCCAGACAACCTCAGGTCCGTGTGCGGCCATCTGTCCTCGAAATCTATTGAAACACTGGGGTTCAATCCTTGTGACATTTGGTTGAAGTTTGCGTTTTGCTTTCTCGTGCACAGCTTTGTTAATAACGTGCTTCTTGAAAGTTATCTCTGCCAGTGGTTTAGGAATCGGCTGAATCTGACCTAAAAACAAATAAGTTGCTGTACTTGTAAGAAGCTTCACAACTGCTCATATTGCATGGTTTTAAGCTGCTCTGACACATGGTTGTATTGTTATGTTTTTTACATGTAAAATACACATTAAAAAGCATGTTGTGGTTCAGGCGAGTTGGTTATCCATGAAGTTAGCTTGTATTAGTGCGGTGCATATGAAATAAAAAAAGGGGGAAAGACGTCTCTGTTATCTTCCCCTGTTTGCTTTTCATATGTGCTACACTAATAGAAGCTAACTTCATTAAAAAGAAATTTACGTAAATTCACTAGTGTTTCAGCAGAGCTGTAAAACAATTGCAGATGGCACACTAATGTTTAATTTGTTCATTCGTCACATTTACCCACAGCATTTGTAGTGTTTTGTGGCCTACTTCATAAACAAAGCTGGACTGAGGGGTAAATAGTCATTGGCTCACCTTGTGTTGGTGCCATTCATTTACATGGAGTGCTTGTGCAGGACGGCGTCTGGATGCCACGGATAGCAAACAGTAGAGCAGCATTGTGCTGGCATTTCTGGCTCAGGCTACAGGATATGCAAAGAACAAACAAAATATATTACTATGATGCTTGGGGAAACCTATCCGAATTTTTCATTCACAGATCAGACCGTTCACAACTTCAAGTTGTCTAAAGCAGCAGCTTCATCTCAGTGAATGGGTTATTATTTGATGTAACATTAAGTGCTTTTTACAAGATAAAAAGTCTTGTATCATTGCCGCACAACCCCCTACCTATCGTGACTTAGCGTAAACGAGCCGTTCAGGACCGATAAGTTTGATACAGATTATACTCAGTCAACGTGCGAAACCAGCATTATCCGTTCGTTACGTTACACGACTTGTGCATGACTGCAACCCATTTCTTTAAGCAAAATATTCTGCAGCACGAAAGACTTTCACGCGCTATACGCTGTTAAATCGCACGAATCTTTTACATCCGCGGCCCACTGGTACTTTCGTTTCTTTCTTTCTCTTGTGATCGTGCACAAATCATATCTCGATAGCGACTGTAACACGTAGATTGCACCCTGAAGCTCAGCTCAAAAGGGGCATGCAACAGCAACATGTCTAAGCGAGATCGTTCATAGCGTCGCCATCGCCATTGTACGTCTGCTAAGGAAGGTGCAATAAACAAGCGTGATAGATCACCAAAGGCAAATACAGCCAGCAACACAGTCGCAATGTGCCCGGAGAACAGATGTGGTGCCATCGTGATGAAGCACTGCAACTTGTTTGTAGTGCCCCGCTTTCATAGAGCATAAACATGTGCTACGCAGTACGACGAGGCTGAGGCCGGTAGGTTGGCGCTGTGTCGTACACTCGATGTGGCGGACATACCGTTCCTCCTTGAACATCCAGCCCTTTAGTAGCTGGCAATGCCACTCGCCAAAAGGATTGTCTATCACGTCACTCATCACTTGCGGCACGGACGACAAATCGCTGCTCCACTGACCAGCGGAGTGGCGGAGCTTCTTCATGTGTGCCGCCGTAAACATGATTCAAACCCTGTGCGGGAGCACGTTGAATGTTCGCGAAAGTCTAGAAGCCCTACCGTATGGTGGCAAAAGTATTCCGAATGGCAGACACGGGAGGCACAGTAAGCAAAGTGAAGGCGATACAAGCCGCCGCCGCGCTGTTCACGAGAGAGAAAGAAGAGAACTGCTGCCCGATGGGCCTCAGAAGCCACCACTTAAGCTTTCGCCTCTCGCCGCTAGGGTGGCTGGTTGTGCTCGTGCAATGTGAAAAAGGCCCATTCCATGCATCGTAGTTTTAGTGTCAAGATAGCTCAGTTCGATTCACAAGACCTTCTCAGCTGACACTTTAATTCGTTCAAGGCAAGCATTGTGGATGAAAGGCGTATATCTCAATTTCTTCTGCAAGATCCACAGATGTGCTTTTGGACAGTCAAAACATTTTTATGAACTCCAGTTCTACATACACTGGCACAACCTACTCGACGTATAACAGAACGCAGTACCGTTCCTACCTTACTACCCGGGCAAACAACAGGCTCATGGTGTGATGCTCCCCAACATCCTCTTGAATCGCGTCATAGGCATGGAGCATCGCAATGGTCTCATCTGCCAAAGCTTCCGTGTTTACAGGCCGATGATATAGACACGGCTGGACTTACAGACGACGCAGAAAACATGGCTGCACTTACAGACGACGCAGTAAACACGGCTGCACTAGCATGACGACGATGATGCTGCTGAGGAGGCATCTTCTGGCTGCACAACATTTGCCGGACACTTGCCTGACAATATTTCCTCTCGTTATGGTGACCCATGGGTGATGTTATATCCTGTCCGAATAGAGTCCTCAGGCTGCCGACAGGCTGCCTGAGGACTCCTTTCGAAAAGTGAAAAGTGCTTTGTTAAACAACCCTATCTTTTCAACGTTACGATTTCGTTTGTTGGTTTCCGAAATTTGTTTCAATCTCTCCTGTTTCCAGTGGCCACAGACATCTCTGTTTACATTCACATTTTGTCTAGAAACTGTCTCGAAGACTAGACCATGCCACTTTTTATAAATGCTCAGCCAGTCATAGCTCACCCAGAAGTCATCGATTCCCATGTAAGAAGCTATCTATTTTACCTTTTATTTCAAAATTAGGCCACTGATCAGGATGTTCGCACTGTGCGCATGCTTGGACCAGAGGGGAAGCACATCATCAATTTCTTTGTAGGCCATCTTTTTCATCTACATATTGTCCGTGGCGAAGTTCTCAAGCTTGAAAGTTCCATCAATATTTCCTATGTTCGTATCTTTGACAGTGTCAACATAAACAGAGAAAAATCGAACTTGTTCGCGATATCTGTCTCCGATAAGTTGTTGCGATGAAGTTCTTGGATGAACCTTACTTTTCTTGCAAGCGAAAGTGCATTCTGCTGCTGTTTTTATTTGTTTCAATCTGAAGTTTACAACTAGACGTTGATTGTTGAGTGGAACGCGGGAACACGTGCGATTGCTTGATTGGCTTGGCGAGGCTATAGTAGCTTTGGTATTTGTTACATAGTTCGCCAACTATCATGGCCATTTCGGACATTCATGGATTTCACTTGTTTCAGTTTTGTTTAACAGATAAAGCAAAAAGAATCTTCCGATTGCACGAAAATTTTTTATTGTTCATTCTCAAGGAGACCAACCAAGTGTGTCTACATAGTTATGTTCAGGCAATTTCTTTCTTTAAACGAGATTCGTTTAAGGGAGTCTACCATATCTTCAAAAAGTCTTTGATGACCAGAGTGAATTATGTAAAATATTCGTGGACTATAAGCATCAGCACGTATGAAGAGTAACTAGGACTTGCGTGTATTTCCTTTGAGAGGTGTTTTGTTCATCTTTTGGGTAAAGTTCAAAGTTTTGAACAGATCATTGATGAGTATGGTGAAAACTTTGGTCGCCTCAGAGGCTGAGGGCCTACACTACCAGCTTTTTTATATACTCAGATGGCAGTAGCTATTCCATGGCTGAATAGCTGTAGTTAAAATGAAATATTTTAAAAAATAACTGAAACGAGCCCCTTCTGCCTCTAAGGGTTCCACTTGTGTAGGAAGTCGAACATAATTCGCGCATTTCACCTGGCATTATAATTGTCTGACGCTACAAAGTTTCGTAATTTGACGGAATACAGCCACGTAGCAGCACCATGGTTTACATCCTGCATATGCCACCATCAACCAGGGATAGTTGCTATTTTAATGTAAATTTTCAAGGCGCTGTTTGGCAAGTATGGCCCTCACGCCAATGAAAACGACATATCATCATTATTTTCAATATCTAAGGAAGTTCTTCCTCAAGTCCAAACAACTATCAGTATCATAGAGGATGGAACATCCTACCGATTCGTTACTCACCAGAGGATCTTTATGTGAGGCGTGGAACTACCATAAGTGATCCAAGTTCCATGCCTGATATTTATTTATTCATTCATTTATTAATTACTGCAGACAAAAAGTCCAAGAAGAGTGAGTGAAATTCATAACAGTAACAGAAAATAGGGTTGCAAAGTGTTTTTTTACAAAATGTTTTTGGCTGTAAGATGGGGGGAGGGGGAAGAGTACTTTAACAACTTGGTCATGATACAATTCTAAAAAGTAATAAAAGAACAACAGTGTTTGCACAAATAGTCACAGGCGTTCAGGGAATGCTTCCATTAGTTTATTTTACTTCGTTCAGCTCAAGTTCATAGAGCTTTGGGAAAGTTTGAGAAGACACTTCACGACAGGTATCCGTCAGCTGACAAAATTCAGGGGGCACTTCAGTCAGGCTGTATTTGTTTCGCAGCAGCCAAGGAAGTTGTTCCGGCTTGATTGTTTTCGTTTTGCTAAGGAAGATCTTGATAAGTGTTGTGTTGTTATCGATATTACGGCGCGTGAAAGGCATCGCCGATGAACAGTGTTAGTGACGTCACTATGTTATCGTACATGCGCTAGTGGCTGTTGGGCGTATATATTTTGGCTCTTGTTCTGTTGCTGTGTGAATCGTTGCTTTGTGCTGCAAGCATGCTGTGCCGTAAATGAAGGTGTTCTGTAAGGCCTTGGTCTTTCTCTTCCGGCGGATGCAACAAAGTGGTGACGAGGATGGGATTGGACAAGAACTGAAGACGGCAATGGCTCTCAGCAAGCTACCGGAATTCGCTCCCGGCAGCGGCAGCTTCGACGTGTTCGTCGAAAGATTCGAGCTCTACACCACAGTCAATGAGATCGCCGAGGCCAAGAAACAACATCTATTCTTGAGCGCCATCGGAGAAGAAGCATACGTAACGCTCCGAAGTCTGCTACTACCCAAGACGCCGAGCACGTCGTCATACCCGGAAGTCGTGTCGGCGCTGAAGAAGCACTATTCTCCGAGGCGGTCAGTGGTGAGTGAAAGATACCATTTACACCAAAGGAAGCAAGCCTCTCAAGAAACTGTCGTAGAATTTGTGGTGCAGCTGAAGAAATTGGCATCATTGTGTGACTTCGGCGCCTTTTTGGAACAAGCGGTTCGTGACCGCCTGATAGCAGGCCTGCATTCCGAAGTCATACGTTGCCGGTAGCTGCCCATAAGCGACAGCGAGCTCACCTGGGACCGCGTCTGCAACACCGCTACGGCCATGGAGGCAGCAGCGAAAGACGCCGTGGAAATGGTCGCGGAAAACACCGCTGAACAGTCAGCCCGCTGCAGTGACATACATTGGCAGAGCCAATCAGCAGCGTTGCGTCGGAGTTCACAAAGTGGGGCATGCAGCGGCCACGGCTCCGGCAACACAAAGACTTCGGTGACACGGACTAAGACTATCTGTCAGCGATGCGGTGGACAACACGCACCTGTAAGTTGTCCTTTTCTGAACAGCAGGTGTTATAAATGTCAAAAGAAGGGCCATGTCGCGAAAATGTGTAAAAGCAGGGTTGTACATCAGCTAAAAGAGCAGCACTCGTCAGACACTGCACTGCTAACGCTTTGTCACACCGATAACCGTTCGGGCAACCGTGCCATTGTAATAAATGTAAGACTAAACGGGAAAGAGGTACCCATGGAACTAGACACGGAAGCGGCAGTTTCTATTATGTCCGAAGCAGAGTGCGCGAGGTATTTTCCTGGGGCAAATTTCAGGCAAACAGATGTCAGACTTGTTACATATAACGGTACACCCGTTGATACCAAAGGCGACATTGACGTTGAAGTGCAATACCACGAGCAGTGCTTTCATTTGCCGCTAGTAATTGCCAAAGAGACGAAATGTGCAAGAATGTCTACGTTGTTTGGCCGTAACTGAATGAATAAAATCAAAATCCGATGGCATGAAGTTATGCAAGTGAAGGCACTGACAAAAGAAACTCCCTTGACTGACAAATACCGCGAAGTGTTTGAGCCGGGTTACGGAGCAATAAGAGGGTTCAAGGCGAGCATTGTTGTTAAAGAAAACGCGTCACCTGTATTCTGTAAGGCGCGATCAGTGCCGTATGCGCTACGCGAAGAAGTCGAGCAGGAATTGGCAAACTTAGAAAAAGCTGGAGTCATTTACCGGGTGCGGCACAGTGCGTGGGCGACACCTCTGGTGATCGTGCCCAAGAAAAATGGCCTGGAGCTTCGGCTATGTGGTGACTACCGTGTCACAGTAAATCTTGCCATTGAGGTAGACCAGTACCTGCTCCCTCTGACAGAAAATATTTTTGCAACTTTACATGGTGGAACTGTCTTTTCGGTTCTGGACTTGTCCAAGGCGTACTTACAGCTCGAATTGGATGAGCGAGCACAAGAACTGCTCACTGTCAATACCCACCTGGGGCTGTTCAGGTTCCGGCGCTTGCCATACGGCGTAGCCTGTGCACCGGCGGTGTTCCAGGCCGTGATGGATCAGATCCTACACGGCCTCTCAGGAACGACCTGTTACTTAGATGACGTTGTCATCGCAGGCGCAGATAGAAAGCAATGCCATGACAGGTTAGAGCAGGTGCTCATACGCCTAAGAGAACATGGCATACGGGTCAACACTGAGAAGTGTAAGCTGTTCCAAGAACGAATCAGATACCTGGGTCATGAAGTTGACCAGAATGGGTTGCATCCTACGGCGGATAAAGTAGCTGCCATCAAGCAGGCGCCAAAACCGGACAACGTGACTCAGTTCAAAGCCTTTTTGGGCTTGGTAAATTACTACTCAAAATTTTTGCCAAATCTGGCTACGGTTTTAGAGCCCCTGCATAACTTGTTGCGTCGAGAAGCAGCATGGGATTGGTCACGCCAATGTGAAGAGGCATTTTGAACCTGTGAGGAAATGCTTACTAACAAGAATGTGCTTGAGTTGTATGATGTCAACAAAGAAATACAGCTAATGTGCGACGCCTCCGAGTACGGTTTGGGAGCTGTTTTGTCGCATGTTGTGGGCGGCACAGAGAAGCCAATAGCATTTGCGTCACGATCACTATCACATGCGGAGCGTAGTTACAGCCAAATAGAGAAAGAAGCTTTGAGCATTGTGTTTGGTCTGAAGCGATTTTATAACTACTTGTATGGTCGAACTTTTGAGGTTCTTACCGACCATCAACCTCTCACCGTGCTCTTCGACCCGAAAAGGAAAGCAGGTGCTGTAGCCACAGCTAGAGTACACCGATGGGCTGTTTTCCTAGCTAACTACAGCTCTAAGATTGCACATAAGCCGGGCACGGCAATCAGTAACGCAGATGCTTTATCTAGACTGCCATTGCCCCAGACCTCTGAGCAAAGGAAGACATTTTTTATTTTGCCACTCTGGACGAACTACCGCTGACAGCAAAAGATATAGAGCGTGAAACAACGCGCGAAAAGCTACTATCAGTAGTGCGCGACTTGATTTGGCACGGCTGGCCGAAAGCTGTCGCTCAAGAACTGCAACCATTCTGGGTGCGATGGTTCGAACTCTCTGTTGATGCTGGTTGCGTTGTTTGGACGAATAGGGTAGCTGTTCCAAATTGTTTGCAGAGAGTTGTCATGAATCTGCTGCACGAACAACACATCGGAATCACAAAGATGAAAATGGTTGCAGGTCAATGGTTTGGTGGCCAGGAATTGATGATGCATTAGAAGAAACCGTGCCAAAATGCAGCGTTTGTCAAAGCGTACAAACAGCAGCACAGCTAGCGCCTTTGAGCCCGTGGAAATTGTGCGAACACCCATGGGAAAGGGTGCATCTTGATTTTGCCGAGAAGGAAGGTAAAATGTCCCTATTAGCAGTTGATGCTTACAGTAAGTGGCTAGAAGTTAAAGTATGTAGCACGACGAGTGCTACTATGACAGTGGCAGTGGTTCGGTCTTTGTTTGCCGCGCACGGACTTCCTTTAGAAGTAGTAACAGATAACGGGCCGCAATTTCAGGCTGATGAATTCCAAAGCTTTCTAAAAGCGCAAGGTGTAAAGCACACGTTCACACCCCCGTACCACCCGCAGTCCATTGGGGTGGTGGAGCGGGCGGTACAAACAACTAAGACGGCCCTGTTTAAACAGTTGTTAGAGGACAAAGAAAAAGGCAGTGCAAGAACACTTCAGCACAGAATAGATAACTTTCTGTTGTGCTATCGCACAACGCCACATACCTTCACTGGAAAGACACCGGCTGAACTGTTTTTGAGAAGACAGTTGCGTACCAGGTTGTCTTTGGTGCGGCCGCATCTGACAAAGGCCATGACCGAGAAAGTAGAAAGGATGAAACAGTCAGCCGATAATAGCAGAGCGAAGCTGTGATATTTTGGGTTGGGGACCGTGTGTTGATTCGTTCCGTGCGAGGAGAATCGGTGAAATGGCTGCCGGGAAAAGTTACGCGAGTGAAGTCTCCAACTACGTATTTGGTTGTTATTGGAAACCAAGTGCGTTTTGTACATGCTGATCATTTACGAAATTCTGTGCTCGACGACCGAACCCCACGTCATGAAATATGCCTGCCACACGCCTCCGAGGTCGCCTCTCCGCCACTACCTGTGGTGCAACTGGACCCTCAGGTTGAACACTGGCCGCCAGACCCGGGTTAACCGATAATAACAATGCGATTCCTCTGAGACGGAGCAATCGGGAAAGGCGGCCTCCTGAGCGTTGGTGTTACGACCGTTTTTGATCTAGTGATGAAGGAAGTGTTGTGTTGTTATCGGTATTACGGCGCGTGAAAGGCATCGCCGATGAACAGTGTTAGTGACGTCACCATGTTATCGTACATGCGCGAGTGGCTGGTGGGCGTATATATTCTGGCTCTTGTTCTGTTGCTGTGTGAATCGTTGCTTTGTGCTGCAAGCATGCAGTGCCGTAAATAAAGGTGTTCTGTAAGGCCTTGTCTTCTTCTTCCGGCGGATGCAAAAGCTGACAAACGGAGCTGACAAAATTCAGGGGGCACTTCAGTCAGGCTGTATTTGTTTCGCAGCAGCCAAAGAAGTTGTTCCGGCTTGATCGTTTTCGTTTTGCTAAGGAAGATCTTGATAAGCAAAATGGACTTGAAGTGGCTACCTTGAAGAGATGATAGTTGATATGTTGGGATGAGTGTCTGCAGATCTTTATGCTCTGCCTTTCTCAGAACCGGCATTCCTCGTTGACGGCAGCAGCGTACAGGTGAAACATACACAAAGATAGTGTCATTAGCCCGGTCCCAACGAGCCTGAGGCCAAGCTCGACTTGCTCCTGAAAATTGTTTTCAAAGTTGCTGAAGAGACTTTCAGGGTGCCATCATTCAACACTCTGGGTAGGCCTAGCGACAGGATTTCTCTTGGCCTGTCAAGACGAGTCTGACATGACTCAATAGACTAAAGTTGCTGTCTATGTGTAACAGCACTGTGATTAGGCCTTCTCTATAGTACAGTAGTTTGACCCGGACATGTGCGTTCGCGACTCCGAGAATTATCTGGTCACGTATTTTGTGGTCGTAAAGAGTGCCAAACTTGGATAACAGGTCTTTTTTCTCGAGCGCGGTGATGAACTGGAAAAACGTTTTTCCGGCCAGGTGTTTGTGGCTAGAAAAAAAGTGCTGGCCTCTCACCTGGCGAAGAGCCTGTCCATAAATTTTAGCAATGTATTGTATTTCGTCATTGCCGCTGTTTCAGTCTTCAAAACCACGCCTGTGCCGATATACTTGCAGTGTGCGTAGCATTCTGGCTACCTTGCGCTTGGAGTTGCTTCTACACTTCGAAGTATCTCGCTGACTTCACAGAAGAGCCATGATGGCCTTCATACGTCTTCCCAGCCTCTTCTGCCAGCCACCTTCAGGTGTACATCGATTATTTTTTTCACAAATGCCAAGGAATGGAAGGCATGCTATGCTCGTCAAGGAATCAAGACAGATTTATAAAGAGAGCGGCCATGTGCTCAGGAGACAGGCAGTAGGCTTAAGATGTAGATTCCGTTGCAGGGAGCCGGATCAGAATGAAAGGTCAGGCCATTGTAGTGTGCAGAAAAGTCAGCAATGCGGTAGCAAAAAGTGTGACTCATAGCGTAATTTGTCACTTACGTCGTGCTCTTCTTGGCGTTGCCTGTGAAACCAGGTTCGGTACCTCGTCGCCATGTGTTTTGTCGGGCTGGAGCATGCGAAGCTGAGGGACAGGCCAGTGGAAAGCCGAGCGACAAAATTAGACCAAGCTGTGGCAAAGCTGACAGAAGACTGCTCCTCGCACTTTTTCAGGCGGTTTAAAAGGAGATAGAACGAGCGTGATTGGCCAGCATGGGTCACGTTACCTATGTATGCCACGCTAAGTAGGCTAAGAAACGATGTGACACCTAGCGTCACGTGAGGCAAACATAAATACCCCAACGCACTTTTATGACACCAGGGGTCGAGACAACAGAAACGTGTCAAGCGAACAGGTGATAACTGCGTAGCGACTTGCCAGTTACTGGAAGGTTCCCATGTCCAAAGCCGCAAGTCGAGTGTTGACATATATTAGGCTGACATATATTATTCAATTCGTTCTTCTTTGTTGGGTATAGGATAGAGCTGGACCCTAGTGATTGCATTCAACTTTCTAGAGTCCACACTAGAACACTCCTTCCCATTCACTTCTACAAGTTTCTCAGAAGTACAGTGTAATCACTGTCTGCTGGCTTATTGATTCCCAGCTTGATCACTGGTTTTACGTCTACCTCGATTATTTCTCGCTGGCGAGGTGCGATGCGGTACAATTTGAATAGGATAGGCTTGTCTGATGTCGTCTCAACGTCTTGAGTAATAGGCATTGTTCTCCTTGATGGGCTGCTGAAGCACTGGTGAAATTCTTCAAAGATCATTGACCGAATTAGCATCGAGAGCATCGAGATTTTAATTTGTATGGGTTGACATATTGAAGACGTTTTCTACTGAGCACTTCGTGCGCTTTTAGTTCCAAAAGTGAAAGTTCTGCAATTACTTCACCTGATGCATTGGCCATCATGTTGACAACCTCTTCACATCCAATATAAGGTTACATTATATTGTACTAGTAAATTATCCTGTTGTTCTTTTCTCCTAAAAATTTTAAAGTGTGCTTAGTTTCCGAAATATTTTTGGTAACATTAACGATTTCGTCCCTCTGTACTTCGACTTTGTTCTTTCATGATGGCCGTGAGCTTATGACCAGGTATAAACGTTCATTTATTAGCGTTCCTGTTATAGCAAGCCTTTGCATTGTTTTGGGCCTCTTTAGGCTGTTTTCTACCGGGCACTCAAATAATCCAGCAATTATAAGGCGTGATTCACCAGTATGTGGCTTTCACCTGTTCATTCCCACATTTTCTCGTAACATTCCATACACCAGCTTAGAGCGAGTATATCCTTTTGCTCTCTGGCACTCGTACCTGGTCAGCCTGAATATCTGCAGCTAAATGGACACGCGCAAATGTTAACAACAGGGCATCGACTATCTTGGATGAACTATAAGTTCCTTCAACGGAATGGCTTCCGAAAACCTTGTCGAAGGGCGGAGCATAGTCAAAAGGTACCTGCATCGACAACGAAATGGCTTCGTGAATAATGGAACCAACTTTAAAGGTGCCTTGTGCCCATCTCTCCGTTTTCCAACTCGCTGACAAACGTCACCGGAACCTGCACAATTTTCCACATTTTTAAAACATCCTGGCCAGTAATACCTCAGCAAAAATGTCTCTTTTGTTTGGTTGATTTCTAGATATCCTAACCAGCAATTACTGTGACAAGAAGTCAAGA